GCAGGCAGGTAGTTAGAAAGTAGCCATCCATATGAGAGGGTACATATAGCAAAGGCTTGTTCCTAACATATCAGACCAAAGGGGACAATGGGCTCTGATCCTTGGACCCTTTTTGCTGTTTCAAACACATCTATTCTTTAAAGCCATCTTTAACAACTGCTTTTGGAGTAGTTGTGGGCAGCCACCAGCTCCCCAAGTAAATTGTTTTCTGACCTCTTACACTACTTAGAGTCTGAGTCACTGTTGGTTAAGACTGATATTTGGTTTTCAGTCTTACCTTATTCTTTAGCTGTTTCATTTTAGTTATTGTCTTGATTACTTTTCGCTCATTGCTGAGACAATTTTCCCAATACCAAAATGAAGAAGAGTTTATTTAGCTCACTGTTTGTGGAGGTTTCAGTCCATAATCAAGGCTGGGTGGCATGGCACTGCGGTAACACTAGAAGGCAGCAGCCAGAACAAAAGGAAGAAAATAAGCCTCTTCTCATGGCTAATATTGTATACCAGCCCTCCCCACCCGGGTGGGTTTAGCACTCACAAAATCTCTTTGCCCTGGTTTGGACAGGATGAGGATGAGAACCCTGGCTCCCTGATGAGTCTCTAGGTTAAACTTCCAAACTGCTCAAGTTGACACAATGTATCCACCGTAACAGTTATGTTTTCTCCAACAAAATTAACTCCTATTTGTGTTGTTCTTCATCTGTTAGACTAATAAATATTTGTGGCTCATTGATTACACTGATAAAAGGACAAATAAAACATAAAAAATAGCAAGAAAGCTATTAGGGAGAATTAGAAGCAGAGAATTGATTGTATAGATCACCAGTTCAAACTGCCAGTCTGTGAAGCATAGTCCTGCCATGGGGTCAGTTCTCTCATCAGTTCCATTTATGAGTCTCTTTCCAGCTTTTCCTTCATGTGAATTGAAATCTATATCGTCATCAGCCCTCCAATGAGCTAGCATGCTGGGAAAGAGTATGAGACATGTTGCACAAGCCCAGCCTGGCATTGCTGCTTACTGATATTAGCAGCATCATGTGGCCCATAGGGATATATGAGAGGTCTGTCCTCTTGCCCAGCTATGGAAACCTAAGGCCAGTCAAAAAGTTGATAGAGGAATAGCTTAAAATGATGATTTCTTTTTCACGTGGCAGAAGTGCAGAGTTAGTAGGATCATGTTTGCATTTTTAAAATTCCAAGGACTTCTAACCCCCTGGAAGAAGGAAGGCCTCTTTGGTACTTCGAAGACAAAGGGGAGTTCTGTTTCCAGAAGTGTATGGATATTATTATTCTGAGGAGTGATATAGATGGAAAGTACTAGGATGTTTCAAAACAATTAGGTTATTTTCATGGATGACAGATCTAGTCTTTCTCTAAGACAAATTCTTGATGTTTGAGGGTACCCTGACTTTTGGGAATTCCCACCGAATCATCACATATGTTATTCCTGTCAGAGATAGATGTCCAGCTTACTGCAATTATGGGAATAACCCGGGGAAGGTAGTTAATTTTTTTTTAAATTGACAAATACAAATTATAATAGATAAAATGATACTTTGATATATGTATATATTGTGCTATTTAGTATGTGTTATCTCACATATTTATCTTTTTATGGTGAGAACATTTAAAATCTACTCCCAGCAATTTTCAAGTAAATAGTGCATTGTTATTAACTATAGTCTCTTTGATGTGCAATGGATTTCTTGAATTTATTCTAGCTTATTGAAATTTTGCATCCTTTGACCAAAATACCCCCATGCCCTCCCCCTAGAAGAGTATTTTTATTTTTTGAGATGAGATCTTGCTATGTTGCATAAGCCAGTTCCAAATTCCTGGGCTCAAGTGATTTTTTCTGCCTCAGCCTCCAAGGTAACTAGGACAATAGCCACATGCTTCCACCCCTGGCTTGGGGTTTATTTTTTAATTTTTAAGTACAGGCACTATCAATTGTAATTCACAATAGTCTTAGCCGCTGGATCTTGAAGTTTTCTCTTTCTCTGAGTAGAAAGGCCTGCTGGTCCCACATCTGCCTTCCCAACCACACCCACTCACTGGAGACAACTGGCTGCCAATAGCCTCATCTCTGGAGAACAATACAATGGGCCTGTTGTATACTTGTTGACATACAGAGTGGATTGTTTTAGCAGGTGCAGGAGATAGTCTGTGTGGAGATTACAGAGACTTTTATCCTTGACGGCATAGTATAATTCAAATCTAAGTTGTCCATTGTCTGGTCTGCAAGCAAGTGTTGGAACTGGACTTCGTTAGGTTCAGGTCCTTCTGTGTGGGGTGGGAGAACAGCATTAATTCTGAATTTTTTTTGATGGTGATTCTCCTCACACTGTATCTTTACACTTTAGTAAAGAGAAATAAACTTGGTTTGGTGGCTAATCATATATTTCTGATATTTTTAAGGCTTTTGATTGGAGACTGTGTAGTCAGGCCAGTTGAGTCCTAGAGACATTACTTCTTTGTTTCAAGAGTGATTTTAGGGATAGCCAATGATTGTTTTCTGTTACTGTGATGATTTCATTTGGCTTGTTCAAGAAACAAAGCCTCGTGCTTTCCTGTGTCCTTAGTGTCCATGATAAGTAGCAGTGGTATTTATTTCTGCATTTATTTTGACTACGTGTTCTCATGAAGGGATACAACAAACAGAAGAATAATCCATAAGCTAGTGATATACATAAATCTAATTTTTTTTGTCTTTTTCCTTTTTTATTGGTACCAGGGATCAAACTCACGACTGCCTGCTTGCAAGGCAGGTGCTTATGCCGCTGAGCTAAATCCCCAGCCCCATATACATGAATCTTAATCAGCCTGAACTCAACTTCCAGATCCTTTAGTTCATATTTTTCCCCTATCTATGACTTGTAGGAGAAGGGAGTAAATTAGAAAGGAATTTAAGACCGAAAACTGTATTTAAAAACAAGCAAGGAAACAAGATTTAATACATGAGTTCATCTTCATCACAAACCTCTCAGCTTAATGTAACAGTTGCTTTGCACCCCCTGCAGTTAGTTCTGTGTGTGGCAGGGAGGGAAGAGAGGCTCTCACTGGGGTTGTTCCAAAACTGCAGTGACCATACAACCTTCTTTGAATGGGCTTCAGCTTGCTTACTTAACCCTGTGTTGATGAGGCAGGTTTTTTCCTTAGCTTACCGTCTTCACTCTCCCCATGCTCCTTGCTCATCCACTTATTATAATCTGCCTCCAGTGAAAATTCCCATTTTTAAAGGAGAAATGTGCCTGGGGCGAAGGAGGACAAAAATAGGTTAGTGGATTACTCCTCATACATTTTCACTCACTTGGTTTAACATTCAGCTCAGATCAACAAGTATTTATTGATAGCTTCTTTTACTTGTACTAAGGGCTGGGAAATATGGAATCATGATCGTGTTAATAGCTTGACATTTATTTAGCATTTACTGTGTGTCAAATGCTATTCTAAGTATTTTGTATTAGTGCATTTTATTCACACGATGACCCCACAAAGTACATATTATTCTTATTTTACACATAAGGAGACTAAAGTTAAGTGAGTCACTCAACTAGGAGCTGGTAGCCGTAATTTAAACTCAATAGTTTTTGGTCTAGTAACACTAGTTTCTTTCTCTTATGAAGTCCGTTTGAGAAAGATGTAGTCAACCTACTAAGAAACAACTAGAAGGTATTACAGGGCTTTGGCAGTATAGGAGGGAGAGATTAGTGTAGTTTAGCATAGGTCTTTTGGAGGAGGTGAGACTTCTTTAAGTCCTAGATTGTTCATCAAATTGGTGTAAAGAAAGCCACCTCATACATTTAATGTGAGAATTGGATGAGAAAATGCATTTACAGAGCTTAGTACAGTGCTTGGTATATGATGAACACTGTGTAAATTATAGTTACAGAGATAACAGTGCTGTTGCCAGGACCTAAAGGATGACTATATTTGAGATAGACAGGAAGAGGTACATTATGAGGAAAAAGGAGAGTGAACGTGATATTGGGTACAAATGAGATTCTATTTATTTATTTATTTGTTTGTTTATTTTTTGAGACTCACTGTGTAATTCAAACTGGTTTTGAACTCAATATATAGCCCAGTTCAAACTGGTTTTGAACTCAATATTTGGCCATCCTCCTATGTCTACCTCCTGAGTGCTGGGATGACAGATGTGTACCATTACACTTGGCTAAGAATACAATTTTCTTATGCCGTTGCTGATGATTGTTAGTCACCTCCTAGTTGAGCTAATTGAGGAAAGAAGAAAAATGGATGTTGGAGAATCATTCAGCACTCCTGAGGTTTTTCACTGGTCTTGAAGCATGTGGAAATACCTTCTGTCTGATCCTGTGAGCATGCTTCCTGACTGGTCCTCTTTTTTTTTCCTGTCTTCATCAAACTCAGCCCTAATGTAAGGTGAATGGGAGTGAAAAGTCCTGCTCAATCCTAGAGGGAGATCAACCTGTGGTGCTTGTAAATCCAGGCTCAGCTGCTTCCTGATCTTTCGCATAGCCGATAAGCCTTTCCTGAAGCAGAGGAAGGGTGACTTCCAGCAGGTTGATAGGAAGCCTGGGGAAATAAGGGAGGTCCCTTGAGACTATTTTTCTGTATTATAGATAGCATCAATCAATTACTTGTTGAATTTATACAATGTACAAAACCATGTGTCAGATGTTTGGGGTAATTCAAGAGAGGTAAGTAGCATGGTTCTTGCTCTTGGGGTACCACTGATTTTATTGTAGAACCAGATAAAGACACCTGTAACAGTTGGAGACCAATACAGGGTAAATATAATTCAGTGGTGATGAATCATTTAGAGATGAGTAGCCAGACTACAACTCCCAACCCACTTATTTATCACAAAGTACCAACACTGCAGTTAAACTCAAATACTGAGGTTTTAATTCAGAAAAAAACAACTCATACATTTAATCTTTTGTCTTAAAAGAAAAACAACATGCATTCGGTAGGTTCACCACTGGTATAATTGATGAATTACTTGCTTTTTATAGGTGTCGCTACCTGGCTGTTCAGCTGTCACCTGCTATCCCTGTGTTTGCTGCTATGCTTTTCCTTTTCTCCATGGCCACGCTGTTGAGAACCAGTTTCAGTGACCCTGGAGTGATTCCTCGGGCTCTACCAGATGAAGCAGCTTTCATAGAAATGGAGATAGGTGAGTCTTCTAGTTGACAAAATACTGTGTCGTGAGTTAGCCCTTTTCAGTAAGGATATGGAATCATAATAATAGTTGCAGATTCACAATCTACTGGTCTAGCCTTTTCTCTCTGAGATCCTGAATTTGAAATTAGGACCATGCTGTGAATTTGATTAAGGCAGGTATAATAAGATTTTAAAGTCATATGCTTTGTTTTTCCTAGTGTTCACTTGCCTTATAGGACAGATTTGTTACCAAGGTCTGGCTATATTGTCTTGATGACAGAGGTTTTTTTTTGTTTTTTTTAATGGGCTCACCAACACATTTGTTTTTGGACAAAAACTATAAACCTACCCCCAAATACAGAGTCTGCCAAAAAGAATGTCTATATACTTCAGGAAGAGAAAAACTTCTATAAATATTTTAAAACTAAATTTATCAACGTATAAGGCCAATAGAGGTTACTTTTGGGCTCTAACAAGAGGTGCTAAAAGAGGTGGCTATCAGCACCCAGACATTTATTAGTGGGGCAAAATGCTGCTTGGGTAACCTTGGTCATTGAGATTGCTGCACATGCATTTACAATTTCTTTTCTAAAGGCTAGCAGCATAGTGGATTTTCTGAGATACATGACATCATCTAGGGTCCTCCATATGCAGGTAACACCATCTATTGAAAAAACATCATACTGTTTTTTTTTTCCTGAAGTAGGTGTACATTTTTTGGCAGACTTTGTATTTTTATACCCATACACATACATACAACTTTGGGTGTAAATTTAGGGATTTATAGATTTTCTGAAGCATATTCATGGGCTCCTTGATCAAGAATTCCTGCTTTAGAGGTATATACAAATTGAGAAGGGCAGCTCTGGTTCCAGGAACCATAAAAATTCTAGCTCATTTCAGTTGATCTCAGGAGAAACTGGTTAGTGAGCCAAAACGACAGTGGTGGGCTGAGGGTGAGAATAGTAGAGAAAAGCAGAGGTGAAGGTGTTTGGGACAGCTGGAGTTCTGAGGAGACCTGAGACTAGAACTGGGAACAGTTAAGATTAAGATAGTGAGGGAGAGTTGTGAGTGCTATTTTTAGCTGCATCTGGGTTATTTTTTTATAGTTCACTTTCCATTCACATATGGAGGATCAAAGACAGTACCTTGACTTGTCTCTTACATTTCACAGCAGATTGTCACCAAGGATAGCTCTTCTCTGCCCCATCATTGGATGTGGGGCCCAGACTCAAGTTGTCAAGTTGTAACCTCTACATTTGGCATGTTTATTCTATTAGAAGAGTGCATTCTTGAGTTGATATATTTGTTTATGTTAGCAACTTTCATCAGCTTATATTTAGCTCGGTACTGGATATGCTTTGGAGGAGAGATAGAGAGAGAAGTCATGTGATTGCCTTGTCTCATAGCACCTCCAAAGAAGCCTGAGCCCTGAACTCTGTCTCCCAGGTGCCTTCCTGTGAAGCATATGCAAAGGAACAAAAGGTGGCATGTTGGTGCTTACTTAATTGTGTATCACCCTTTAGTGAATAGCTGTCCTCATGCTTTTAACACTTGTGACACTCTGTTACTGTTTGATTTCTCAGCACCTACTCCACTCTGCAGAAACAGGAAAAGTGTTCCATATGAAAGATATTTTTATAATCAAAGTGAATTGAAAAATATTCTTTTTTGGAATTATACTGCGTGGTAAGGGTGCAGTGAGGCAGGCACTCCCATATACTGTGGATGGGTAGGCATGTGAATTCATATAATCTGTCTAGCAAGAAGTGATACAAGTTTTAAGGGTTCATACCCTTTGCTCTAGTCATTAATGGTTCTTTACAGGCTTAGCTAAAGGAAATAATGAGATATTTTAAATAAATTATTGTATAATTTTTCATGTATCATTTTTATTTTTCCTTTTGTTTTTAATATAAATATAGATTTTTTTTTGGCTTTTTTTCCCTTGGCTTTTTGACACAGGGTCTCACAGTGCATTCAAACTGGTCTTGGGCTTATTTTGTAGGCCAGGCTGGTCTCAAAATTACAATAGTCCTCCTGCTTCAACCTCCTAGAATGCTAGGATTACAGGTGTGTGCTGCCACGCCTGGCTTTGAACATAGCTATTTTAATGCTAGAAGCTTCATATATTACTGCTCAGACTTCAACATGCTTTTCTTTCCATTTTAGAAATTAATTTTAACACATGAATATATTCTTGGGGAAGGGAGGTGGGGACTGGGATTGAGTTATCAAAAGGAATTTAAGCTTTTGTTTGTAATGTTTTAAAGTTTTGCATGCATTTGAATAGCAAAAAACCTGAGATAATTTAAATACCAAATGATACAAGATGATTAAATAAATGACACTATGTACATGTCATAGAATATTGCTAATAATGATATTTTAGAAAAAATTATCAATCATGCATAAATGTTTACAGTGTAATGTTAAGTAAATAATTCACAGTACAAAATTGCACTTCTGTGACCTGAAATTTTTAAATGTCATGAATATTTATCTATTAAAAGAAGAAAAGATCAAATGTATGACTGTCTCTGAGTTGACAGATTCTTAGTGATTTTTATGTTTCATTATTTATATTTTATGTTTTTTTCTAACTTTTTAAATAATAAACAGTGATTGTTTTTCTAATTATTAGTAATTGTTTTTCTGATTATCACTATCTTTCATGCAACTACTTCACTTTTGCTATATAGGGCCTGCTTATATGTATTGATCTTTAGCATACATATTTATTTTGCAATACATTATATTTTCCTGTGTCACCATTTATGTTTATATAATTTTAAATGGCCATATATATTCGTTAAACAACTGTATCATATCTGTCATAATTTTCCTTAACCAACTTCCTATTGTGATGTTGTTTTAGTTTTTTATTGTTAAAAGGGACTCTGTGACAAATACACTGTATAAGTAGCTGCATTTTTTTGTAATTTTGAAAAGTCCCTGTCAGTTATAGAATTGCTAGACAAAAGAGTACACATGTTTAAAATTGAGGTAGTTTTTACATCTTTGACTGGTAAGGTATAAGAGTGCCCTTTTCAGTTCCAGCACTGTGGGGGCCTGAGGCACAAGTTTGAGCCCAGCCTGGCAACTTAGTGAGACCCTGTTGCAAAAAAAAAAAAAAAGAAAAGAGCTGGTAGCATTACTCAGCATGAAAGTTTTGGGTTCAGTCCTCAGTATCACACATATGTTAAAAAACCAAAAATCAAAATTTAGAGATAAACTCTAAACTAATGATTACATGTCTAAACGTATTTATCAAAATTTACAGAATTATTCATTAAAGTTTTTTTAAATTTTATTTAAGGAGAAAAAGAAAAAACAGAAAAAGGGTACAAGTTATACAGAATTTCAAACAAAAGTAAACCCTAAGTAAACACTAGAAAATCACTTGTTAATAGATTATATATTGTCATCTTAGAAATAGTTGTTCAAGTTACAAAATTAAAGCATATAAAGTGGACATTCAAACAGTGATACTGCAAACAGTTCTGTTCAATGATCCAGCAAAAACTCAGTAATATGGTTACCTATATTATACACTTAAATATCCATGCAGTTATATCCTTTAGAGCACTTTCTTTTCCCCTCTTTTTTACAATGACAATTACACATTTTGGGTTTTATTACTCATATAGTTCTTATTACTTTTTTTAAAGAGAATGAAACCAAATGTGACATAACAAAACAGAGTCAGTCAAATCAAAAGGATGGACATAGTACATAATGTAAAAACAGAATCAAGGTGATCGACAATGGTTACCATAATGCCTCTTGCTATCTTAAAAAGAATTGCCTATATCATAAGTTATAATAAAATTATTCATTTAAGTTTTAATTTTGCTGTATGTAAAAAAGAAAAAGTGACCTTTTCCCACCCTTGCCTACATTGAATATTTTTATTCTTTTTATTATTTGTTAACATAATAGGTGGAAATAGTATCTTTGTGTTTTAATTTTTATATCTCTCATTAGTGAAGTTGGATTTTTCACTTCTTTTGTTTTTTATGAAATTTTTTTCTTTGTAACTAGATGAAAAACTTTGAGGACACGCTTTTCCCACATGTACATGACAGTAGAATTTTGGAGGGATGGTATGTGATGTGGAAATTCTAGTCTAGAAAGTCTTGCCTAGAGAAGACAGTAGGCCTAGGTAACCTTTGATGACACTTATTGCTTTTTATATATTTTTTGGTGCTGGGCATTGAACCCAGCACCTTGTACATAGTAGAGAAGTGCTCTACCACTGAACTACATCCCCAGCCCTACCCCCACTGCCTTTGGAGAGGTGGCCAGACTTTGGGGCTTAAATAATGACTTAGCAGTGAATTAAACTGTCCTTACTAATTTACAGAAGCTACCAATGGTGCAGTGCCCCAGGGTCAGCGACCACCCCCTCGAATCAAGAATTTTCAGATAAACAACCAGATTGTGAAACTGAAATACTGCTATACATGCAAGATCTTCCGGCCTCCCCGGGCCTCCCATTGCAGCATCTGTGACAACTGTGTGGGTGAGTAAAACCAAAGGGCTGTTGCCCAGGGGAAAGGCTGAGCTGAGTGAAGTAATCAGGGTGATCAGCAATTCTTTGGGAAAGTCAGTGGAGGTGAGAAGATACATTCTGATGGGAGACTAGGTAGATTTAGATAGGAAAGAAACCTCTGAACAAAAGCAAATCACCTGCACTTGTGTGGACCAAATCATAACTTAAATTTCATCTAGTCCAAAATCAAAACAAAACCTAACCTTTTTGATAAACGGGAAAATCAACTTTACCAGTTTTTTTTTTAAAGCAGAAAAAGTAAAAATAACAGTAAAGGAGTCCCAAAACAGGCTAGTAGGAATGTAATTAATATATTACATATTGTTATATTCATAGAAGTTATTCAAGTACAAGATATAAGCATAAAATATTGTCCAAAAAAGTTGAAATCTAAAATTTTTGCCTTGTGGAGCTCACCTTTACATGGGGGAAGACTATCCTTGTCCACTGGAGGGCAGTATTGAGGAATGAATGCCTGTGTAGGCAGCGTTCCTAAGAGGAAAGGTGTTAGCATTGTTTCTACTACAACCTGAATGTGATACTAAGTCCTTTCCTTGCTATCATTTAAGACTTGTGAAAACATCCTGAAATCACTATTATACCCATTTTACAGACGAAATAATGAAGCACCTCTGTATAAGTTTATGTAGTTAACGAGATAAAGCTAAAAGAGTTTGAATGTCAAAGTCCTTATTTTCTCTTTCTTTACTGCTATGTGAGCATGGCTAGTATAGGTGTTCATAATATAGGAGTCTGTGTTTTTGACTTCACATAATGTGTCTTGATTGTGAGTTTTGCCCACTATATGCTGAAACATGACAAAGATCAGGAATAGGTAGTAAATGTGCTTTTTAAGATGCACTTGTGTTATATTGTTGATATCCATGGATGTGATTCTAACATTCGGTGTGCCATGTAGCATGTTTAAGGACCCTGCTTTCCTCCTGCTAACCTATGCTTAGTCAAAGTTTGGGAACAAGTATCTTGCTTTAGATAGCAAAAATTGATATGTAGATTGGAATTTATAAGTCACAACTCATTCTAAATGGACTAAGATGAAAGTCTGAAGTGAAAGTTTCATAAAGAATTCTCTGTGTTAATATTCTTTAACATAAAAAATTCATGCAAACTGTTTTTATTTTTGATTTATTTTTTAAAAGTAGCAGTCTAGGATAAATACAGACAATTCAGAAAGCAGGAAGTACAATTGTGTGGTAAATTTGAAAAAGTATTCATTTTTATTAATGATCAAAAAAATAACTAATAAAATAGGATGATTTTTCAGTCTAGGAAATGAGCAAGGACAACCCAATAAATGATTCATGTTATACTAGTAGGAATATAAATTGGAACAAACTTTTGGGAAGGCAATATAATGAGGTTCATCAAAAGCCTTAAAACATGTAAACCTTTTGATGCTGGCAACTCCTTTCCTAGAGAACCTAACCCAAGAAATTGGAGATACGCTAAAAGATTTAGGTGTCAGACTTTTTCTTTGGGACTATTATGAAAATGAAAATTTGGAAAGAACCCAATAATCCACCAATATATGAGTGAACAAATAAATTGTGGGTATTCATACTATAGACAATGGGAGAAATTCATACTAGAAAGCTAAATGATGTAAAACAGGAGCTATGCTACATTTACAGTGTGAGCTTAGTTATATATTTTTAAAATAAAATATATAAAGAAATATGCAAGGAGACATACCAGAGTACTTGCACTTTGTAACTTATAGGTTATGGGGTTATCAGTGATTTTTGTTTCCCTCATTTTTCATTTTTGAAAATTTTCTACAAAGAGGATATATCACTTCTGTCATTGTAAAGAATGTGATTCAACATATGTAAAAAGCATGTATCAGTATAATTCTACATTTTTCCAATGATTTTATAGGCAGATATGCTTAAAATGAGGCTCTATGGGTAATTCTGGATCTAGATATTATCTTAGCCATGGGATGATACTCTTCTCTATACTTTCCTATTCTGAAAAGATATATTATAGCCCTTTAACCTGAAGATATATCATTCTTTTTTTAATTTTAAAGAGAATAAAACAAAACAAAGCAAATCAGAGCAAAACAATGCAAATAACACAGGATTTTAGAACAAGACAACAGGAAATCAATAGTGGCTACCATAATATCTCTTGTTTTCTTTAAAATAGTTGTCCATGCGTTCACATACAGTAAGTTAATACAAAACAAAATATTATAGAAGCAATCAAAACAAAAGAATCAGAGCCTTTCGGGCCTTCAAAACCCGACACCAGGAAATCAGTAATGGCTACCATTAATGTCTCTTGTTTTCTTCAAAATAGCTATCCATACCTTCAAACATATTGAAATCAAATCATTGAAAACAGACTAAAACCAGTCAAAACCAAGAATAAAAGCATTATTGCACATCAAAGCAAAATGATAGGAAATCAGCAATGGCTACCATGATGTCTCATTTTCTTCAGTGTAGCTGTTCATACCATCACACATAATAAAATCAACTCTTGTGAACTCTTTTAGGTGACATTCTAGGCATATGTAAGCCTATACATGTACATCTATCTTTTCTATATTAGAGGGAAAAGCAAACCAAAACAAAACAAAGTATAAGAAAAACGAGAAACGAGAGTCAAATAAATAAGTATAACAAGAGCCCAAAACAATAACATGTAGTAGGCTTTCAAACCAAGGTGGTAGAAACGTAACAATTTTGTTGTTTTGCATAGTTATCTTCAAAAGTCTTAACTGAATTACCAGAGATAGTCATACAAAATTGATCTAATCCTACAGATGTTAACTGTTTTGTTCCAAGAATTAATAGAATTAGTAGTACAATCATCTTAATAATCTCAAGTGTATATATACAAATTTAACTTTTTTATTTTCCTTCTTTTCTCCTTTTCCTTGAATTATTTTTTTCCTCTTTGAGCAGTTTCTTACCCTTTCACAATATTTATTGAAGATTTTGTATCTTATTTACTCTTTCAGTTTCTTACAATAGGGAGATATATAGTATTTTCACATGTAAGGTTTTTTTTTTGTTTTGTTTTGTTTTGGTAAGGGTACAAGTAATACAGAACTACAGAAAAAAAAAAAAAACACAGTAAGAAATCACCAGTTAATAGATTACACATTATCATCTTAGAGATAGTTGCTCAAGTCACAGTATCAAAGCATACAAAGTGGACATTAAAACAGCAAGACCGCAAACAGTTGTGTTCAATGATCCAACCAAAAACATTAATATGGTCATCTATTAACACCTCTAAACACACTTGCAGTTGTATCCTCTAGAGCACTTTTTTTCCCTCTCTTTTTTACAACACAATTTACACACTTTGGGTTTTATTACTCCTTAGTTCTTATTACTTTTTTTTGGAAGAGAATAAAGTCAAATATGGCAAAACAAAGCTGTCAGTCAAAACCAAGGATAGACATAGCACATGATGTAAAAACAGAGTACAGGGTTATCAACAATGGTTGCCATATGCCTCTTGCTTCCTTAAAAAGAGTTGTCTGTCTCATTAGGTATTATAAAGTTGAACAAAACAGTAGAGAATAAGACCAATAAAACCTAAACCTTGTAAACATTACAGGACTTCCAAAGAAGATAATAGTCAAAATAGAATGGGCATCATAGTGAATCTTATTGCCTTCAAAGTAGTTGCCTATACCCTACATGTAAGTTTGATTTATTTCATTTATGAGTATGGTCTCCAGTCATATCCATTTACCTGTAAAAGGCTCAATGTGATCCTTCTTTGTAGCTGAGTAGTATTCCATTGTATAAAATACCACATTTTTTTTTTTAGCCATTCCTCAGTTGATGCACATTTGGGTTGTTTCCAAGATTTGGCTATTACAAATTTTGCTGCTATAAACATGGGTGCACATATATCACTGTGGTATGTTTTCAGTTCTTCTGGGAATATGCTATTCTAGGTCTCTTCTGGTTCCAGATGAATTTTAGGAATGATTCTCTAGATCAGTGAGGTATGTTAATGGTTTTTTGATTGGAATTTCATTAAATCTGTATAACAATTTTGAGAGAATGGCCATTTTCACAATGTTTGTTCTTTCTATCCATGAACAAGGAGTGTCTTTCCATTTTCTGAGAGCCTCTTCAATTCCTTTTTCCAAATTACTGTAATTTTCACTGAATAAATCTTTTACTTCCTTTGTAGATTGATTCCTAAATATTTCATTGTTTTGGATGCTATTGTAAAGGGTGTGGTTTCTCTTGTTTCTCTTGCAGTGAGTTTTTTGTTTGTGTACAGGAATGCTATTGATTTTTGAGTGTTGATTTTTTATCCAGTTTACATTACTGAATTTGGTTATTACGTCTAGAAGTCTTTCAGTGGAGTTTTGGGGTTCTTCTATGTAGAGTATCATGTCATCTGCAAATAATGATAATTTAATTTCTTCCTTTCTTATCCTTATTCTGTTTATTTCTCGCTCTTGTCTAATTGCTCTGGCTAATGTTTCCAGAACTATTTTGAATAGAAGTCGTGATAGTGGACAGCCTTATCTTGATCCTGATTTTATAGTGAATGCTTTCAGTTTTTGACCATTTAATATGATACTGGATGTTGGTTTGTCATAGATGGCTTTTATCACATTGAGGTAGAGACAATCTATTCCAATTTTCTGTAGGGTTCTTATCATGAATGAGTGTTAGACTTTATCAAAAGCTTTTTCTGGCCTCTATTGAAATGATTAGGTGTTTCTTATCTTTGGCTCTATTGATATGATGTGTTATGCTTATTGACTTCTTTTTTTGTTTGTTTGTTTTTTTGTGTGTGGTACCAGGGATTGAACTCACGATCTTGCACTTGCTAGGAAGGTGCTTATGCTGCTGAGCTAAATCCCCAGCCCCTACTTGTGTATGTTGAACCATTCCTGTATAACTGGGATGAATCCTACTTGGTCGTGATGTATAAACTTCTTGATGACTTGCTGCATTCTG